ACTAGAAAACTATATGAAAACCTAACATTTGCTCATTCAACAAATAGTTATAGAACCTCTTTTAAAGTACTCGTTTAGGACCCTGGGAATAGCAGTAAAAATAACTGCAAAATCGTGCCCCACTGTGAAGCTGCAGTCTTATAGGGACTGGAGCAGGGGGAAATAATAATCAATAAAGTAAAAGATGATTGTTAAGAGCCAGAAAAAAATAAATACATAAAGCTGAGAAGAGAGAATAGAAGTGTTGGGTGGGAGAGGACACAATGTGCAATTTTAGATTTAGGGAAAGCTCCATACTAAAGAGATGACATTCAAGTAAAGATATGATAGAAATGAGTGTGTGAGCCATGTATTAACAGATATGTGGGAGAAGAACATTCCAGACGAAAAGCAAGTGCAAAGCAGGAGTGTGCCTAGCAATCTGAAGGAGCAGAGAGTAGGCCAGTGTGGCTGTAGCAAAAAGTAACAAGGGGGGAATATTAGGAAATGAGGTCAGAGACCCTGTAGGTTCTTACATTTATTAGAAAGACTCTGGTTTCACTGTGAGCAAAGTGGCTGCTATGTGGAGAACAGACTGAAGGGAGAAAAGAGCAGTAGCAGTCCAGTAAGCAGACAACTGCAATCATTACTAGTTTGGGTTGGGTAAGGAGACAGACACACTGAAAAGGAAAGTGAGAAATCACCCTCCCAGGGAGGATGGCCATGCTGCAATCCTTTTTCCTCCATTCTTCTCCTGCAATCTTGGACACGCATGCACACGTGCACCACAAGAGTTTCAATCCACCAGGTCTGGGATTCTAACCGCCATCAGCAATGTGGGAGCCCAGTGATGTAACTGCTATACCATGTACTGGCCCCAAAGCAACATGTGTTAAACTTAGGCGATAATTACATATACTGCATTACTTCGTGGAGTCACCAAAAGCTACAGATAAAGGCTCTTGGACCCACTATTTCTGCCCAAGACTGCTGATTGTTAAACATTTACCAGCCCAGCACCACTAAATTTAGTGTACTGATTGGCTGAGTCCAGGATCTGGATCTAGGCTGTCTAGATTGAAATAACAAGCTTTACTGTATCTCTAGTAAGCTGCTCAGTATTGCAAATCATCAGTAAGTGGGGAAAATGAAACTTACTTCATAAGGTTGTAAAGATTGAAAAGTCTGATACATGTAAAGCACTTAGGGTGAAAGACAGTTTGTAATATAAATACCAGATCATAAACAAAATATCACTTAACATCAACTGATAAACTAGAGATAAATCCAAAGATCTATGCCAATCCTAAATTCACAAATACTATGATGACATACTTATTTTCCCTATAAAAATGAAATCCATCATTAGCTCTCTTCATATCCTCTTTGAGCTTATTATGAATACTAATAGTTAAGGCCTAGTCATGGTGGCACAGTGACAGTATAATGCTCTGCAAAGGTGGAAGCCACATAGAAGATCTGGGATCTGCTCCTGAGTCAACACATACACACCAAGCAAGCATCCATGGTCTTGGCTGGCTGGGAAGGCTGAGGATAGGATCACAAGGTGAGACCTTATTGAAAGTGTCTCTCATGAAAAGAAGTAAATTTTAAAGGAAGAGAGAATGAGTAGTAACAAACTATTTTCAGAAATATTTTCATCAGATGGCAATAGTTCAATTATAGGGTTACTGAGTTACTCAAACCTAACTGGTTTCTGTGTAGGTACTGAGTAGTAAGAATTCTGACAATGAAAAATTTAACTAACAATTTATCCACATCTATCAGATTTCTGAGTCAGTAGTCAGGGACACACACACACACCCATTTTTAATTTTTTTCTTAAAGAGAGATTTTTTGCTATAGGATGCATGCACTCACTTGAGAGACAGAGAGAGACAGTGAGAAATCACCCCTTGGGAGGATGTCCATGCTGCAATCCATTTTCCTACAGTCTCCTCTCAGGATTTTGGGCATGCACGCATATGCGACTGGCTTGAGTTTCAAACCACCAGGTCTGGTACTCAAACCGCAGTCGGCAGCCAAGTGGGAGTCCAGCAATATAACCACTATGCCATATGCTGGTCCCCCCTCCACACACACACACCCATTTAAAAAAATCTATCCATTAGTATTCTCTTGGAGAACTCTCATGGAGACGAATAAAGCTATAAAAGGAACAATGCAATGAATGGTTTTAGACCCAGCAGACATGGATATAAAGAGATACTGTGATCCAGCACAGTATAGTACTCACCAAGTGGTAGCACCAAATACTTTGAAAAAAGTGGATATAAATAGACTTAACGGGGTGAGCTTGGCATGGAAGTGGCTTGGGTAACTGGTTTAAGAAATAGTTGGATTCTGGGCCAGTAGCCTAGTGGATAAGAGAGCCAGATTCCACATGACCAACCATAGTTCAAATCCCAGCTCTACCAGCATTAAAAAAAACACATCAGGTACCTGTGTGTCTGTGCCCAAAAGCCTGATGGCTGATGGGACGGAGACAGCATAAGAGATTGCAACATTAACATACCCTATCAGGGGGAATATTTTCTCCTCTTTTTCTGTTTCTCTGTTTCTCTCTCTGGAAAGTGCACGCACCCTCTCGCAATTTTAAGAAAAGAAAAAAACAACTTTTGAGTTCTTGGGAAAGTCACGATACATTTTTTACTTCATGATTTTCCTGATGACCTCATAGATCCCTACACCACTCTTCATAAAGGCATTGCTTCTTCTACTTGAAATGTCTCAAAAAACTGTCTCCAATGCCCTCTTGTTTTCAGGAAGCTACTTGAGGATATGGTCCACCTAAATAAAGGAGTAAATCATGAACAATACATAAAAAATGGGAAAGAAGCAAATCCAACATAGGGGAGAGGCAAACAATCCCCAGGATGACAGCTGCGTATAGTTACAGATGGCAAATAGTCCAGATTTGACAAAGCACTTCACTCCAGGTGCAAATTCTTTGAGAAGAATGTAACTGACAGAATAATTAATGTCTGAACATATGGAGAGCACATTCATACATGTGGTAGCTATTTATGCAACGTCAATTATTAACTCGAGGAAATAAAAACATAGTGTAGGGTAACAGTATTATATCATTTAGTGTGAATAGCAATTGCATAATCTTAAACATAATTTAATCATAGCAATACATAAATATTGAATTACAATATAATCACATTGAGAGGAGAAAGGGGCACTAGAGGAATGTGTAATATTGAAAAATCAAGTAAAAATAAACATATTATTTCAAGATATTATAATAAATAAAAAAAAAGCTAGCTATAAAGAGCTTAAAATACTTGTGGGGACAAGAAATAAGAGAAGTCAAACTAGTGGTATTTTCCTAAAGAAAAAAAAAACTTGTAGATCTACTTGACTTTTTAAACTATGTGCATATGTAATCTCAATTAAAAAATAATAAGACAAAAAATATAAAACACAAAATCTAGTAGTTTCTGGTTCATAAAAATTCCATGATATTAATAATTTTATTATTATGACAAGACAAATGGTTTTTCTTTTTACTGTACACTCATGCTAGAGATAACAATGCTTCCTCAATTATAAATGCTACTTGATCTTTTTAAAACACATCATTTACTATGCTTGGAATAAGTGGGCATGCTTAATAAAATAAAGTATAAAACATTCCAATTTCTTGTACTAAACAAAGTACCTAATTTTATACAACTTACATATGACTTTTAATGTTAGTAACAGAAACAAGTTATTTTACTTCTTAATATTTAACAATAACAAGACTTTAACTCTTAAAGACATGCACTATAACCATATAATAGATTCTGTCATCAATATGATGGTCTTGGCATCTTATATATAATGTTCCCACTTTAAATTAAGTCCTAATTAGTAAAAGTAACTGGTTTAAGAAATAGTTGGATTCTGGGCCAGTAGCCTAGTGGATAAGAGAGCCAGATTCCACATGACCAACCATAGTTCAAATCCCAGCTCTACCAGCATTAAAAAAAACACATCAGGTACCTGTGTGTCTGTGCCCAAAAGCCTGATGGCTGATGGGACGGAGACAGCATAAGAGATTGCAACATTAACATACCCTATCAGGGGGAATATTTTCTCCTCTTTTTCTGTTTCTCTGTTTCTCTCTCTGGAAAGTGCACGCACCCTCTCGCAATTTTAAGAAAAGAAAAAAACAACTTTTGAGTTCTTGGGAAAGTCACGATACATTTTTTACTTCATGATTTTCCTGATGACCTCATAGATCCCTACACCACTCTTCATAAAGGCATTGCTTCTTCTACTTGAAATGTCTCAAAAAACTGTCTCCAATGCCCTCTTGTTTTCAGGAAGCTACTTGAGGATATGGTCCACCTAAATAAAGGAGTAAATCATGAACAATACATAAAAAATGGGAAAGAAGCAAATCCAACATAGGGGAGAGGCAAACAATCCCCAGGATGACAGCTGCGTATAGTTACAGATGGCAAATAGTCCAGATTTGACAAAGCACTTCACTCCAGGTGCAAATTCTTTGAGAAGAATGTAACTGACAGAATAATTAATGTCTGAACATATGGAGAGCACATTCATACATGTGGTAGCTATTTATGCAACGTCAATTATTAACTCGAGGAAATAAAAACATAGTGTAGGGTAACAGTATTATATCATTTAGTGTGAATAGCAATTGCATAATCTTAAACATAATTTAATCATAGCAATACATAAATATTGAATTACAATATAATCACATTGAGAGGAGAAAGGGGCACTAGAGGAATGTGTAATATTGAAAAATCAAGTAAAAATAAACATATTATTTCAAGATATTATAATAAATAAAAAAAAAGCTAGCTATAAAGAGCTTAAAATACTTGTGGGGACAAGAAATAAGAGAAGTCAAACTAGTGGTATTTTCCTAAAGAAAAAAAAAACTTGTAGATCTACTTGACTTTTTAAACTATGTGCATATGTAATCTCAATTAAAAAATAATAAGACAAAAAATATAAAACACAAAATCTAGTAGTTTCTGGTTCATAAAAATTCCATGATATTAATAATTTTATTATTATGACAAGACAAATGGTTTTTCTTTTTACTGTACACTCATGCTAGAGATAACAATGCTTCCTCAATTATAAATGCTACTTGATCTTTTTAAAACACATCATTTACTATGCTTGGAATAAGTGGGCATGCTTAATAAAATAAAGTATAAAACATTCCAATTTCTTGTACTAAACAAAGTACCTAATTTTATACAACTTACATATGACTTTTAATGTTAGTAACAGAAACAAGTTATTTTACTTCTTAATATTTAACAATAACAAGACTTTAACTCTTAAAGACATGCACTATAACCATATAATAGATTCTGTCATCAATATGATGGTCTTGGCATCTTATATATAATGTTCCCACTTTAAATTAAGTCCTAATTAGTAAAATAAAAATAGGTAGAGATAATGAACATGTGGTTCATAAAATAGGAATATAAGTGGCCAATAACAACACTGATAATATCCTCATTTGTAATGAGAGAAACTGAAATTTTTAAAATGACATACTATTTCAGTTATATTGGCAAAAGTTAAATAAGAAGAAAAAAGATACTATCTACAGTTATTAGGAATTATGCAGGTAGAGGGTGGCCACACATATACTACTAACTGTAAATGTAATTTGTACAGGCTTTTTGGAGAGAAATATGAAATACTTATCAAAGCTCTAAAAATGTTTTAATTCCTTTCAACCAGTCATACCTCTTCCAGAAACTTTTAAACACATAATTAAACATGTAGTGCAAAATGTACAAGACATCCACTGCATCATTAATTATGGTTATAAACTGCAGACAATCAAAAAGTCTAACAGAGGAAAATGAATAAATTGTAGCACACCTTTCTTACAGCAGACAATGGGATCGCAGATGCAATTCTCCCAAACCTACCTCAGCTTCTTCCTTCCCAACAGAGTCTACTTGTAACAGAGGCTAATAATGTCAGAGAGTGGCTTTCTCTGTGATATGGTCTACATCAATGGAAACTGAGAAAGGAAATATTTTGGGGGGTTTTGAGAAGTCTTCCTCAGGGACATAACAAAAGTGAGAAAAGAAATGGCTTTTCTGCCTCGTAGATGCAAATCTCTGTAGATGTAAAACTACAAGTTATAGTAGCAACTGTTGTGATTGAGAGGGAGATGAGTATAAGGCAAAACCAATAAACTGAGACCAAGGCAAAAAACAAAACAAAAGTGTGCTTAATGATACCTGTGAACTGTATGTTATCTGAGATAATAAATGTCCTTGGTTACTTAAGTCAATTATATTTGGACACTGTACCTCTGGTCAAAGCATCCTAATATTAGTCGTACAATAAAGTACTTTTAGAACCACTAAAAGTTATGTCATAGAGGTACATTTATAAAAAGGTAGATGCACAGTTAAGAAATTACAAAACAGTATGTTTCATTAAAAAAAAAAGAATGTGCTAATATGGATTCATTTCACAAGAAAATGGTCTGGCAAGATACTCAAGGCTTTAAGAGTAATTATCTCTAAAAGACAGGGTTTAAATGTTTCCTTTTACATATCTGCATTTTCTATTTTTTTCTAAATGAGCAAGTTATCACTTTAAGAGTTTACTACCCTTTCTATCAATTCAATGCAATTTTGGAAAGGAACAGGTAAACATGTATTCTAGTGAACTATCTTGAAATGGAAATCTGCTTTTTTAATAGGAAAAGTTATGGGGTTTTTTGTTTTGTAAAATAGAATTTGTTGCTAACGGGCATTTATTTCTCAGTGAATATGGAAGATAACAAACAGTTTTCATTTCCTTTTGTTATTTATGAAATCATATCATGACTTTGTACCATTTCGTATTGGGATTTCTTCTGTGAAGCAAAAACAGTCCCAAAAAGAAGGATCTTCGGGTGTCATGGGAATAGCAGATGTTATTAAATCATTAAAAGTGAGAACAGTAAATTGCCTCTGGGTTGGTTTAGAATCATTTTGAGATGAAACCTTAAAGAAAAAAATACTACGTTAGATTGCATGTTAATCCTATGAACAATCTTATGATAATGAAAATAATAAACAAGACCAAGTTACATTTCAGTAGTATTAAATTACAACATAATAATTAGAATTTCTAGAATATTGTTTTTATTTCTTATATTAGTGTTGCACATGTAACAGAAAATCTGGTTTTCAAATATTCTATAACAAAAACCTGTGATATTTGCCTAAAATGTAGATTTAGTGAATCCCACAACCGAATCCACTTACTCAGTGTGTATAAATTAAGTGATCCCCAAAACTGTAATTTTAAGGGACCAGCAGTTAGCATAATGGCTATGTCACTGGACTCCCATGTAGTTGACCGCGGTTCACGTCCCGGACCCGGTGGCTTAAAACTCACGACGGGAGCATGTGCACGCTGCCCAAGATCCCGAGAGGAGAATGGAGGAGAAGGAATTGCAACGTGGCCATCCCCTCTAGAGGGTGATTTCTTGTTTTCTGTCTCTCTGTCTCTCTCTGTCTGTCTGATGAGCGCATGCACCCTATAGCCAAAAAAAAAAAAAAAAGTTAAAAAAAAAACCCTGTAATTTTAACAAGCAGGTGGGTTATACTGATAGAGCTGTGATACAAGAAAAACTTAAAAAAAAAATACTACTCTACAGGGTATATCTGATAAAATTGCTGTATCTACAGAGCTGTCATGCTTCCAAAGAAATCACCATTCAACATTAAATTTAAACATTGTCTTACACTCTTAAAATAAAGCCTTATTCACAGTTCAATCCCATATAGACTTTAATAGTCTATACACTTGTATAGAGTTTTATAAAGTGCTTTAACAAGATCCACCACTTATTTAACATGCTGATTCATGGCTACACTGAGACATAGCTGTTATCTCAATTTTATAGATGGGAAACTTCGGGCTCAGGAAGATCAAACTGACCAAACAATTTGCCCAAGTCACAATTCGAATTAAATGGTAAACCTGGGCATGAAACCCAGGTATTCTCAACTATAGTATGGTCTTGCCACGAAGCCACTGCAGCCAAAACAGGCTGTACTCAGGAAAATAAGAAGTAATAAATACACAAATGTTTGAAACACTATAAAGCTCTACATAAACATAAGGTATTTACATTGAGTATAAAGGTAAAACTTGGGAATAAAAGAGCAAGAAACCTGGGTCAGCTGGTCTTTAGATGAAAGTCATGAATTCTAAAATGCCCATGCACTCATCAGAGTGACAGACAGATAGCAAAAAATCACCCCCCAAGGGAAAAAGTCATGACGCAATCCCATCTTTTCCATTTTTCTCTCCTGATTTTGAGCACCCATGCACACATGCCCAGCATGAGTTTTAAGCTGCCAGGTCCAGGGCTCAAACAGCAGTCCACCATGTGGGAGTCCAGTGATTTAATCATTATGCCATCTGCTGGTCCCAATGCCGTTTTTTTGGTTTTGTTTTTGTTTTTTGTTTTTTTTTTGAGAGGTTTTTGCTATAGGGTGCATGCACTCACCAGAAAGACAGAGAAAAAGAAAGGCAGAAGGCGAGAAATCATCCCCCTGGGGGGATGGCCACGCCACAATCCCTTCTCCTCTAGTCTCCTCTAGGGATCTTGGGTACACACATACATGCGCCCAGCATGAGTTTAAGCCACCGGATCTGGGACTCAAACTATGGTCTACTACATGGGAGTCCCGTGACATAGGAATTATGCCAACAGCTGGTCCCCCAATAACATCTCTTAAAGACAATAATTTATGAAGAATTTTAAACATTTAATTAATCTATCAGTAGTATCATCTTTGGCCTAAGTTATTTTTGCTAACTTTCTTACTTGGACTTCCCTAACATTACTGGCATACACATAGTTTTTTATTATTAGTATTGCTTAAATACTTCCAAAAAATCACAACTATAGACAAACTGAGGGTCCTTGAGCCCAAGTTTGTTTTTTTCCCTACCTACTAGTTAATAACATAAGAATAATGACTGTGACTGGAAGAATTAATAAAAATGTTATGCTACAATATTATACAAGGTCTTCTACATGTATACTATTGAAACTGTTGAGAATAACTTAGGATATTACTTTAAAAGGGGAGACTATTCAGTTTGCAAAGTAATTGCATTACTCACCAATCTTCAATTTGATATCCTTAAACTAAACATCGCCCTAAATCACCAAGAAGTAAATTACTGTTAAGATGACTAGGAAACTGGCCCAACCACAATGGTGCAAAAGTAATACAATGTTTACAAGTCTAGAAGCTACATGCAAGGCAGCATTCAAATCCTAGGCCAATGTGAACCTACCAAGTGTGGTTGTACACACCTGTAGTTTCAACTAATCAGGAGCCAGGGGTAGGAGAGGAGGACTACATCACAGAGAGACCCTAAATAAAAAACCTCTGTGTCTCCCTTTTCCCCTTTCTCCCTCTCCCATTTCCCTCTAATAATAAAAAAAAAAAAAGGCAAAGTGATTATCCTGAATTTCTATTGGAAATATAAATACTATAGAAGTACAACGAAATTTTGCTTTATGAAATTTTTTTCTTTATATTTAAATTTGAAACAAGTAACATGCTTTTTGAAAGTTTCTGCAAAATTCCAGATGATCTCAAACATTTGATAATGAAAAACGTTTTCAAATCTCAAAATCTAAGTCTTGAAAACAAAACAAAAAAGGCCTCTAACCTGATAAAGCAAATGACTCTTCCCATCAGTAAAAAACAAACTTAACACTAATATGTGCTTTTTAGAAAAAAAAGAAATCCTACTTACATCCTGATGTTTAGATCCATCGGGTTTTCTAAGAGCTACTGCAACAAAATGGTGCTCATCTATTTTGCTTTCCTGAAAAAAAAAAATGTACTAAATATGTAAATCTAAATAGTTTTGTTTAAAATTTATACATCTCATTCTCTCCTTACATACATATGTACACACAAACACATCACACATACAGCTACACTCCCATCTTTCCTATACCATTTAAGAGTTATATACATTCATGTCCTTTACTCCTAAATATTTCAATATTTATTTCCTAGTAGGGATACTGTGGTCCTACATGACAACACTAGTTAGTAACATCAGTAATTTTTTTTTTAATTTTTTTTGAGGTTTTTCGCTATAAGGCGCATGCACTTGCCAGACAGACAGAGACATAAAGACAGAAAGCGAAAAATCACTCCCTGGGGGGATGGTCACGCTGCAATCCCTTCTCCATTCTCCTCTCGGGATCTTGGGCGCACACACACACACACGCGACCGGCGTGAGTTTTAAGCCACTGGGTCCGGGACACGAACCGCGGTCAACTACATGGGAGTCCAGCGACAGCCATTACACTAACTGCTGGTTCCCAACATCAGTAACTTTAACACTGAAACAATAATCTATTATCTGTACTACAATCTCATGAACTAATTTAACAACACAGGCACATCACCTCCAGAAAGGAGCCAAGTAATTGACAAGTAGGGTCAAGTATTGCATCCAGCTATCACGTCTTTGTCTTCTGTAACGTTTTAAAGCATAATTCCCTGGGCTGGCACCATAGCCCAGTGGTAAACACAGGAGTGAATGTACCGGTATGTCCAAAATTCCAAAAGGATAGAGAAATGAAAGGATCATGGTGTGACCACGCCCCATTGTTTTCTCACTCTCTTTGTCTGCCTCTCTGGCAAGTGCAAGTACCCTCTGGCAATTAAAAAAAAATTGTACAAATTCCAACTCCCTTTCATTAACAAAACACAGTTTATTTTTAGTTGATATTTCTTAATAATTAGATTTAGGTTACACATTCTCAATCAGAATACCTCAAGTCATGTGCCTTATTAATAGCAAAGTAACAGTTGCCTGCCCACTTATGGTGATATTAACTTTGCATATGAACAAGTGTACCGTTCCAAAAAAAAATGAGGTTGCAACGTTGGTTTGCAAGCATTTACTAATACTTAACTAAACACGGGACTGGCAGGTGGTGTGGTGGTTAAGGGTGCTGGACTCCCACGTGGGCAACTGTAGTAAGAGTCCCACACCTGGCAGCTTGCTTTCCCACTTTCCCTCTCTCTCTCTCCCTCTGTCCTCTCTTGTCAAAATAAATAAAAAATAAGTCAAGTTAAATAAAACAATTCTATAAAAACAAACACAAAACTTAAAAATACATAACTAAAAACTACAGCCTTGGAAACTCATAGTAGAAATTTTAGTAAGACCTAATGAATATGTAAATTTTCTATTTTCCCCTATGCATAAGACAAATAAGAGGGTTTTTAAATGGAAAACAAAGTGAAGTAGTTACCAGAGAAAATTATGTACATCTATTAAAAACTAGACAAAATTTTCACTAAAAAGCCACTTTATTAAGACATTCTTCCTTAAGACATCAGTTGAAATAAAATCAATCAGAAACAGTACTTAGGGACCTGCTGTAGTTTCTGTCCCCCCCTCCAATCCATGTATTGAGACTTGTACTGTAAAACTGTTTACTGAAAACTCAATTCCTTCCTGGTGTCTCAGAGTTGGCCTCTTAGTGTGATAGATAATTAGGATGAGTCCATGATTGAATTCTCATGGGTCTATAATAGAAGGAAGGAAATGAGACAGAAAATAAGGGGTAACACTCTACTCAAATTCCTGTCTTTGGGCATTTTATAATACCTTTGGACCTTCCATGTGACCATAATTGAGTGAAATCAATGTTTACCTTCTTAAATTATTTCTTTTTTTGGGGGTGAGGGAGGTTTTTGCTATAGGACGTGTGCGCTCGCCAGAGAGAGAGAGAGAGAGAGAGACACAGAGAGAGAAAGCGAGAAATCATCCTCCAGGGAGACTTGGATGCTTCAATCCGTACTCCTCCATTCTCCTCTTGGGATCTTGGGCACGCATGCACACATGCCCAGTGTGAGTTTAAACCACCAGGTCCGGGGACTTGAACCACAGTCGACTACATGGGAGTCCAGCGACATAGCCATTACGCTAACTGCTGGTCTCACCTTCTTAAATTATTTCTATAGCTACGTAATAATGGACTTAGACAAGACCTTTTAAACAAATAATATGGTTTTTTTTTTTTTTTTTTTTTTTGAGAGAGAGATTTTCGCTATAGGGCGCGTGCGCTCGCCAGACAGACAGAGAGAGACATAGAGATAGAAAGCGAGAAATCACCCCCCAGGGGGGATGGTCACGCCGCAATCCCTTCTCCTCCATTCTCCTCTCGGGATCATGGGCACGCACGCACACGCGCCCGGCGTGAGTTTTAAGCCACTGGGTCCGGGACGCGAACCGCGGTCGACTACGTGGGAGTCCAGCAACATAGCCATTACGCTAACTGCTGGTTCCCCAAATAATATGGTTTTTTATGTTTTTGCCATGGGACCCATGTGCTTGCTGGAAAGAGAGAGAGAGACAGTGAGAGGGAAAGTGAGAAATCACCCTTTGGGGGGATGGCCACACAGCAATCCCTTTTCCACTCTCCTCTTAGATTTTGGATATGTATAAATACCCAGCATCGCCTTCAAGTCCAGGGCTCAAACTGTGGCTTGCCATGTGAGAGTCCAGTGCCTTAGCCACCAAACTACCTACTGGCCCCCCAAAAATAAAATTCCAATAAAGATAATATGTTTAAAGAGGAAAAAAAATAAAGCTAGGTATTAGAAGACTTGATAGGTCAAAGTTATCACAAAACAAACCAACTAAAAGTCCTATTTTGTTTCCTCTTTAAACAAAAAATAAAGTACTGTGAATGCATACATTTAAAAATACTTGAAATATTTTTTTCAGAAATTTAGTATACACAATAGTTCTTATATATATGAAATATTTTAACAAATAAAAATCATGCTTATCATATAATTATGTTATATTATAATGATACCATGGTAAATCATGGTATGATGATTGATATCTACATTAAAGAATTGTACTAACAGATATACTGTTTTAAGCATTTGTAGCAGTGTGAGATACTAATAGTGACTTTCTACCATGCCCCCAAATGAAAATATGTTCCCTTAAATTAAAAAATAATCCCATAATATTTTTAAAACTGTATTTAGAAAATAATTCAAAAAGTACTTTTTCCTTTTTCTTTTAGAGAGAATTTTGCTTATACAGCACATGTCCTTGCCGGAGAGACAGAGAAACAGAAAGCAATAAATCATCCCCCAGGTGGCATGTCCATTCCACAATCCCTTCTTCATTCTCCTCTGAGATTTTGGACATGCATGTACACGTGCCCAGCCTGATTTTCAAGTCACTGGGTCTGGGACTCAAACTGTTGTCCGCCATGTGGGAGTCCAGTGACGTAACCACCATACCATCTGCTGGTCTGTAAAATTACTCTTTTTGATACAGGGTCTTCATTACATTCTTTGCACTGAAAATATTCATAATGTGAATTTTGTAACATAGAGATTTTTGGAGCTATAATTACTTGTGGAAAATCACTCAGATCAGGACCAGCAGATGGCATAATGGTTACAGCAGATGATGGTAACAGCAGTCCAAGTCAGATACAAAAGAAGTCTCCACAAGGGAAGAGGCAGGAGTCAGAGGAATTTTCAGAGGGGAGCAGATCACTGTTATAGAGACTTATTGGTATCAAAAAAAGAGAGAGGAGGAAGAACCAAAAATTGGTATGGACTATTTTTACCCCATGACTGAATTAAAGAAAAGCTAAGTTAGAAAAACAAAGTTAATTTCAAGAGCAATTAACACTTTTACTTAAGCACAATTTGAGGTGTCTGGGGAATTTTCAGATAGACACACATAGCAGAGAGAAAGACACAGCAATGAGTCTGAGGAATGGAAGAAACTTAAGCTAAATATTTGGAAGTCAAATACAAAAAAGTCAAGGACTTGAGACTGCTAATCATGACGATGGATCCATGAACGGAAAGGAATATATGCATGGGAAAATCTCTTTATTTAGAGAGCTGTAATGAAATACATTTCTTAAATATAACTATTTCAGGGATTGGTTGTTTGTCTCCTTTACTACACATTATTCTAGAAAATTTCATAAACTATTTTACTTATAATAATGGCTCTTTTAGTGGCAAGCCTATTTTCTCCTTAAACCTTTCAGTTTCTGCATTATAGATAACTTTTATCTTGCATATTATTAGACATTGGAATCAGCAGGGGGCACGGCGGTTAAAGGCACTGGATTCCCACATGACTGACTGTGGTTTGAGTCCTCAACCCAATGGCTTGAAAATCACAACCAATGTAGATAAATAAATGTCTAAAATTTTTTTTTTAAGAAAGACATCAAACAGATATATAGATTATATATACAATTATGTATATGAGTCTTTTCCATGCTAATACAAATTATTATTAAGCATCATAAATTAAGACTGTAGGAGGGCCAGTACACTGCAAGATCACTAAGGCGCTGGACACCCACGTGGCTGACTATGGTTTGAGTCCCGGACCTTGTGGCTTGCTTTCTCACTTTCTCTCTCTCTGGTCATATTAAAAAATAATAACGACAAATACAATGACATAAATGATTTTTAAAAAGAGAATGTAGGAAAAGAACAACCATAATTTGATTAATAATTTTCTCATTAAGCATTTCTGATTTTTCTTTCCAGTTATAAGTAATGATGAATGAACACAACTATTCCTTTCTTCTTTTCCTTTTTTTTTTTTAAACTTTCTCCTACATAACTAACTTTTTATTGAATACAGCAGCAGCTAAACATAAATGAGAAAATGCATGGTAAAAACCTTTTATCCAGCATCACTGAGCATAGGATTCCAAGTGAGTGAATTTGCAAATGGCTGAGGCTTAGCCCTTTGAAAAAATTTAGCAATTTCAGTCATTATTTTAAAAATTGTATTATTTTATAAAATGTAAAAACCTAAGTAAAACTTACTCTGTTTTTTACAGAATACATACCTTTCTTGGAATCTTAGCCGTTTTTGACAAAGCTCTCTTTTTCAAAACACTTTCTGCCCTTGGATCCAGTTATTACGCCCTTCTTTTACATGTTACCATTTTGGCCATTTTTATTTTCAGTTTCCTCCACACTCCACCTTTTTTTTTGATAAGAGATTTTGCTATAGGGCACATGCACTCACCAGAAAGACTGAAAAGAAGAAATCGCCCCACAGGGGGCAAACCACCCTGCCATCTCCTCTCCTCCAGTCTGCTTTTGGGATCCCAGGCATATACACACACATGCCCAGCATGAGTTTTAAGTCCCTGGGTCTGAGACCCAAACCATGGTTGACTGTGTGGAAGTCCAGTAACATAACCATTATGCCATCTGCTGGTCCTCACATTCCACCTTTAAGCATTAGTATTCTCAGGGCTCAGAGACCATGCTCTCTTCTAAGGTAACTTCATGGCTTCAATGTAAGCTTCTTCTCATACACTCAATTTATACCTGCTCCTTAGTTAATCTTACAGTTTCAACCTCAAATCCAACATTTAAACAATTTCTATTGACAAGTTAATAACTCTAATTTCTCTAGCCCAGCCCTCTATTCTATTTGCCTACTTGGCATCTTCACCAGATGTTTCTATGGAATCTCAAACTTGATACCTCCTTTGTTTGCTAATATTGTATATCTCAAGAAATGATCTAAGTCACAGAATTACTCTTGACATCTCTGACACCTAATTTACTTGACTTTCACACACAGCTATAACAGGAATTGATCTTAAGATGCCAATTTGATTTTATCACACCCTAATACCTATTAAGTTATATTCAGAAAATCAGTAAACAACTTCTATCTATTCATACCTAACTTCTTACTCTGGGAACTTCTCTACACATCACTTAGGTGAGTAAAGCAGAAATATTATAAAACAGCCCATTCCCGATAGAAGTAAACCCAATCATATGATGTTACTTTCTCAGCTGTAATGACTGGTTTGGAGATAAACAGCTAATCCAAGCTAAGCCAAGGCATCCCTTCTCTACAGCTTTTAGCTTAGATAAGAAAGGGAGGGAATTCACCAGTTTCTTTAGTTTTTCACACTGTGAATTGTTATATGCAAAAGTGATGGGCAGCCATGTTTTCTGCTATGCAGATTAAAGAAGTTGAGAAAGTTACTGTGCAGAATGAAATGCAAGGGCAAGAGAAAACTGAGGTCAAGACATGTAAAAAGGCAACAACAGTAAGAAATAAAAAGAGCTCTGAGTAGTCAACTCTCTAATCCTAGCTACTTCTGAGGCCCAGTTACAGAATCACTCTAGCAGTCTATAATGTCTTTTTTGACTCCAATGAGCTTGTACAGAGTTTCTCTCACTAATAAACCAAGAACTGCTAATGACAGAAACCAAATATAAAGAGACCAAAATCTTTAATTTAGCCAATCATGTTCCATTTGATCTACCAGCCCAATCCAGAATCACTCTTAAATCCCTTCGTCATGGTCCAGCCAAAGCGGGTTTCCTTTACTATTCACACACACAAAGGTCTTTTTATTTAAGGTTCCCTTTTCCCTTCCCATTCTACTTAACTAATTTTTGAGCCATTCAAGTGGCTCATTTTTTAAGTATCAGCGTAAATGTTATAGGCTCTCAAGGAATCCCTGACTTTACCTTCAGAGCACCAGGATTAGATTCCAGTTGAATCTAATTTCAGTGACTAGCCTCCCCAAATTAATTTCACATACATGCACAAAATATGGAAATTCTTAAATTCTTAGTTTATAGCAATTCTGATAGATGTCTTACCTCAAATGCCCATTCTTTTTCTTCTTCCCCATCTAGGAACAAACGTGTTTCTTTATAAACTTGGCCTATATCCAAGTTTAATGGAGATATATCAAATTCAAGTCGTTGCAATTCAAACCCCAGTCCAACACCAATGGCTTTTATGAAGCTTTCTTTCAGTGCCTAAGATATAAAGAGACATTTTCTTAGAGTACTGAACAGATACAATATTTCCCAAAAATCTACAGGCCAACCAGTAGTAGGGTGGTTAAGGTGGCTGGATTCCACATGGCCAAATGCATAGTTCAAGTCCTGGGTCCAGAGGCATGAAAAAAATCCATACAAGACAAATACATCCAGATTTTTAACTCCATACTATACATGATTGTAAGCTAAATATATGATTATTTCTACTATTATACTAGCATGGAGACCAACCATCCATGTGACCTTAAGGCAAATCATTAAGCTCTCTGTTCCTCATGTACAATTTTTGATGATGAAATAGTAACTTCCTCACAAAGTTGATATGTGAATTACATTAACTAATATAGGAAGAGGTTAAAGTAATGTCTCAGGCACACAATACATATTATATGAGTGCTACATAAGGCTCATGTGTATCTGTTCCTTTAGGACAAAATATATTATTTATAAATGGTGATAAATGTCTTGTTTCAGCTTTAGTACTTTCTGGTACTTAACCTCCACACCACCTGCTGGATCCCATATGACCGACCACAATTTGAATCCCAGACCTGACGGCTTTCTCTCTATCTCTTTCTTGAACTCTGTCCCTCTCTGGTCAAATTTAAAAATAAATAAATGAAGAAAGTTCAATAAAATAATTCTTTTAAAAATGGTAATAATAAAATTAAATAATTCTTAAAATAATTCCATTACAATGTAACTCTGCATGCATAAAAATCATAAACTTTTCAAGAATCACTTATTTACTTTAAACACTGTATAAACTACTGCATAACCAAAGATTTTTAATCTTTTTATTAGCAAAGATAATAAGGTCATTTTAGACTTTTCAAAATTATAAAGAAATTATACCCAATTCCTATAAAACATATCCAGTTGGGTCCATTCATCCTTAAAGCTTCTGATTGTTTCCCATTCTTTGTTGGTGAACTTTCTTTTCATAATATGAAAGAATTCTGGAATTGAACCACGACCTGTCAATTGAGAAAATACAGAATTAAAAATAGCTATTCTATGTTTTAAATAGTTGCTATATTACTAAAACTGTTAAGAATAGTGGCACAAAGAAGATATAAGTGAACCTTACTTTTCACTAGTCACAATAATCCTTAACAAAACACCAGTAAATAAAAGTAAATTGGGAATTTAAGTATAACAAAACATGAGAAGCAGGAGTTAGCTCAGAAGAAGGGTAATTTAATATGAAACAGTAAAATTCTGTGAATTATTAAATAACTGAACAGAAAAAAACATTTGACTGTATCAGTAACTGTCCCCCAAAATTTAATAAAATACAAAAGCAAAACCTGTTATAAATCCTAAATAAAATTTCTCATATATGACATCAGAAACCTACAACAAATACTTCTAAATTAGAGTATACTACTCTAGGGTTTAAATTTTTAATTTGCTACATAATGGGGGAAAAGGAGTAATTCTTTTAATTTTGGGGAACTGGTAAAAAGCTGAAAATGGTCCTTTTAAGTTATCACCATAACATGAGCTATTTTACAAAAAAAGTGCTAACTATCTCATGTAATTGTTCCAAAAGCGAAAAACAAATTGGTTGTAAGGGTATTCAAAATATAGTTCCTACTGAAAGTGTATCTTTCACACCACTGTAAATTCAAAACATAGTAAATCTAGGGAACCAGCAGTTAGCGTAATGGCTATGTCGCTGGACTCCCATGTAGTCGACCACGGTTTGCGTCCTGGACCCGGTGGCTTAGAACTCACGCCGGGCACGTGTGCGTGCATGCCCAAGATCCCAAGAGGAAAATGGAGGAGAAGGGATTGCGGCGTGACCATCCCTCCTGGGGGGTGATTTCTCGCTTTCTGTCTTTATGTCTCTCTCTGTCTGTCTGGCAAGCGCACGTGCCCTATAGTGAAAAAAAAACTATCCAAAAAAAAAAAAAAAACCCATAGTAAATCTAACCACCCTTAAGTGAGAGACCATATGTATAATTTCAGTGGAACTGTAATTTGAAGATGATAAAAAAAAAGCCCTCTAAATTTAAAAAGATATCCTTGTTGTCATCTATAGTCATTTTGTTTGCTGGTTTCTGTTGGTTTTAATTTCATAACCTTCAAGAAGCCCTCTGATTTTAAACTAAATATGATCGGGCAATCAAAATTTTAAATATGTATACTAATAAAAAATGATTGGCATAAAAAACAATTTAGCAATCACTTATCTCATTATATACGGTTAAAAGTATCTAAGTGCACTTTCATGTACTTTTGAGAGCATCCTACCTAATTCACAAAATAAGAAATTTGATAGCAACAGAAAAAGGTAATTTTGTAAATATTCAGCCAAAGCACAACAGCACCACACTGTGGTATTATGATGGAAATACACAGAAGGTGAATATTCTGTAAACATCTAATTTACTTGGGATATTGGAATAAAGACAAGGAAATGTCAATAGAAAAGGAAACCTGTCTCTCAATGCATCTGAAAACAGCACAATTATTAGATTTATTAAGTTGATAAATCCTAACATATCACATACTCATGCCTATTATAACCTTCCATTTAATCAACCTGTTGAAAGCAATTCAAGAACTTACTAAGCCAGGACCAGCAGTTAGCATAATGGCTATGTCGCTGGACTCCCATGCAGCTGACCGCAGTTCAAGTCCCAGACCCGGTGGCTTTAACTCATGCGTGGCGCGTGTGCGTGCGTGCCCAAGATCCTGAGAGGAGAGTAGAGGAGAAGGGACTGTGGCATGGCCATCTCCCCTGGGGGGTGATTTCTCACTTTCTGTCTCTCTCTGTCTTTCTGGAGAGCGCACGCGCCCTACTGCAAAAACCTCTCCAAAAAAAATAAATAAATAAAAGGAACTTGCTAAGCCAGCAAGTAGTGTAATGGTTAAGGTGCTGGTCTTCCAGGAACCAGTCATGGTTTGATTCCCAGACCTGGTGGCTTGAGACCCACACTGGGCACACGTGCATGCTTGCCCAAAATCCTGAGAGAATAGAAAAGGGACTGCAGGGTGGCTATCCCCCAGGGAGTTATTTTTCACCTTCTCTTTGTCTCTCCAGCAAGCGCATGTACCCTATAGCAAAAATCCCTTGGGGGGAGAAACAGTATTAAGTCTACATATAAGAAATATGGTTACTTACACAGCAGTTAACGTACAACAAATCATTTTGGCTTCATACCTCTACCTACTATCACATGCCTATGAAAAACATCTTACTAGTACCAGAACCTCCAAGTCCACATACATAAATCTCTCTCCAAAACAAGGACATCAATGTGTATACATAACAGCACCTCAGAGTTTACCAATCTCCTTAAAGAAAATGGGGCAGTAATTTTTCTGGAGAAATAGGAGGGAATTGAATAATGTTCACCTGTGTACATGCTTCAAAGTATCCAAATTTAGCTCTGGATAAGAAATCATATTAGAAATTCTAACAGTTTCATTTTCTAAGTACTGTATTACATATTGCTTCTATGAGAGGTGACAATCTTTTAAAATTTGAGTTAACATGTATACAGTAATGCTTAACTTTCATGTTCCCAGAAATTTGTCCATATACAAATACAGAAAAAATAAAGATGTCTAAGCTACTGATATGGGTTTCACAAACTCCATACACAAACCTCTTATGTGTTCACAAAGGATCTCTTTAAGACCTCAATATGTGGAATACAGCGGAAAAGCACAAATTGAAATATGATGACCTACACTTCACACTTATCACTTAGATAGTCCTGACCTTGGTTGTTCTTTATCTATTTCTTTAAGTATACATATATCAGCATGTATAGATATTAACACACAAAGGCAAGAAACAGAACAGAACAAAACTATAACCTTTGGCCTGAGAATGTTAGCATTGAAATAAAGACTGAATAGCAAAGAGGGTCAAAAGAGTAAGCCTCCAATGAGTAGCCAGAGGACAGAGCAAACAGTATTCTCATGTCTACAAACCTAATAGAGTTTTTGCCGAAAGGTGTATGGCTAGCTGGAGAGACAGAGGCAGTGAGAGGGAAATGAGAAATCACCCCCCCCCAGAGGAAATGGCCACGCTCCAACCCCTTCTCCTCCATTCTCCTTCTGGAATTTTGGGTGAGCACACATATGTGCCTGGAATGAGTTTCAAGGACTCAAAACACAGTCAGCCATGTGCAAGTCCACCACCTTAACTACCACACTACATGGTGATTCCCAGGTTTTATTCTCACATACACATCATTTTATTTATATACTCAATATAATTTTTGACCCTTTAGATAGAGTATCAGAAGCAGGTTGCTAAATCCAAATGGTATGTGTATCTTCAATAATTATATTATCAACCCCCCCCAAAAAAAAAACCCTGAAGCAATTTATATTCCTTCTATCCATGTGTGATTATTCTTTGGTAACATTTTCACCAGTATCATGTTTTCCCCAATTTTTGGCAGATCTGATGGGTATCTCACTGTTACTTTAATTTACATTGCTCTAATCACTAAAGTAATAGCTTACTGGCTATATGAACTTTTTCTTCTGTAAAATTAATATTTTCTAATCAATTTATGCATTAGAGATATTGACTTTATAGATATTGGCCAAATCTGTTATAAGTACTTTTCTTACTCTACTTCTCTTTTTAATTTGGTTATCCTTTTTGCATATATACAGTTTTAAAATTTAATTAAATAACTTTTCCTTAATAAATTCTGGATTCTGTCTTATTTGAAAAAATTAATTAGTAAAAAGATTTACTTCTTGGGGCCAGCAGGTGGTGTGGTAGATAAGGTACTCGACTCCTACCTGGCCAAGTGCAATTTGAGCCCCTGGCAAGATGGCCTGAAAATCATGCTGGAGAGGTCAGCAGACTGCATGGTGGTAAGGGTGCTGGACTTCCACATGGCCAACTATGGTTCGAGTCCCAGACCTGGCAGCTTACTCTCTCACTTTCCCTTTCTCTCCCTATCTTTGTCTGGCCAAATTAAAATAATAATAATGAATCAAGTTGAATAAAATAATTCCTTAAAAAAAATGCTGGATGTGTGTGTGTGTGTGTGCACCCAAAATCCCAACAGGAGAACAGAAGAGAGGGGCCTTGTCATGGCCATGCACCCAGAAGTGATTTTCTCTTTCTCTCTCTCTTTCCTCTATTTTTCTCTTTAGCAAGCACACATATTCTATGGCAAAAATCTTAAGGAAAGAAAAAAAAAGATTAACTTCAAATTTATTGATAGACTACAGCCTCCTATATTTTTTTCTCAAATTATAACTATTTTACATGTAAATCTTTAGTTCCTCCAGAATTTGTGTCTACGGTGTGTTTTACATTCAAATGGTTAACCAACTGTATCAGCACTATTTACTAAAGAAATCAATCTTCCACTGCTGATATGAATTAGTATGTACACTGGGTGTTCTCTCTTTACTTTCTTAGTTGTCTGTTCTTTATTCAACACCATATTCTTGTTTACAATGCCTAATACAAGTTTTATTATTTATTCTTTGCCAGAGGGTATAAGCATAAGAAAGTGAGTGAGAGAGAGTGAGTGAGCACACCCCCCCCCAAATAGGGTCTGATCACACCACAATCCTTTTTCTCTCCACTTCTCTATCCCATCAGGATCTCAGGTACGCATGTATGTGTTCAGTGTTTTTCAGGCTCCCAGGGCCAGATTTGAATAGTAGTCAACTATGTGGGATGTGGTTCACTATGCACAACACTCAACTACTGTTACTACAGAACAGGCCCTAAAACAAGTTTTGAATAACACGGATTGCCTCTCACTGCATTTTTCATATTCTTAGATACTAGTTCTTTCATTAAAACTTTTTTTGGCAATAAAACAGCCAACAGGGGAAGAAAAAAGGCCAAGATATTGTGATTAGTCAAGTAAACTCAATTTAAAAAGCTGGGGTGAAAAGTCCTAACAAAACAACAGAAGACTAAATCTTCAATTTTTGCTCAACTGCCTTATTATTATGTAATAAAAACCACAATTAGTCATTACTTGTTTATACAACATTGATCAGTAAGTCAACACTGCCCATCAGATAAACTGGTAACCTGGCATCATTTTCAGGCAGATTATCAACTCACGTGGCCAACTAGTACTGTGGAGTTAATTGTGCTATTAGGTCATCGGGAAAGGTGTGACTATTTTTCTATACAAAAATGTGTCATAACTTCCCCAACATTCCAATATATTCTAAACACTAATCACTTCTGCACCCATTTCTGATTTTAGGAAAAACCCATTTAAAGACAGCAGAAAGCTATAAAAACATGGGTTTGGAGTCAGCAAGTGGTATGGAGGTGAATGTGCTGGAACCAAAAGGCTAACTCTGTGGTTTGAATCCTGGACCCAGTGGCTTAAAAATCACACAGGGTGCATGTGTGTTCCAAATCCTGAGATCCTGAGAGGAGAATGGAGAAGGGATTGCAGTGTGGCCATGCCCCCTCGGAGCGATTGCTTACTTTACTGCTCTCTGTATCTGTCTCCCTATGGTGAGCGCATGAACCCTATAACAAAAACTAAAGAAGAAAAGAAAGGCTTATTTCCATGCTCACTTTGAATCTTCTATAGCAACGCTTCTTTTAGAATAAGCCTCCTCTAACCCTACTAAATATTTTAAAAATGCACATATACACATTCCTATATAATATGAAAGATAATTTCAGGCTGAAAAAACAACTGCCTTTTGGATCAACCAGGTGGTATTGTGGTTAAGGCTGTTGGGTCCTATATGTTCAGCCACGTGGTTCATGTCCCGGACCTGGTAGCTTGAAATACATGCTGGGTACATGTATATGCATGCCCCAAAATCCCAAGAGAAGAATGCAGCCATCCCCTCTAAGGAGTGCTTTCTCACTTTCTCTCTCTCTCTGGCTTGAGCACATACCTTGTTGCAAATTACAAAAATTAAGGAAGGAAGGAAAGAAAAACAAATTGCCTTTGCCCAGGTATGATGGTATAGGTTAGGTGCCACTTTGTGATACTGGAACCACATGGGAGGCCCAGGTTCAGATTCCAGATCAACCTCACCATGTCAGGAGATTCCAGATCACCCTCACCATGTCAGGCATGCCTGTGATCCTGGAAGGCTTCCCTCAACCACCAGACTTCAGAGGTGGTTCAGCACTGAGACTATTTTAACAAACCAACAGCTTACTCATGAACTCTGAGAAATGCTTATGTGAAACAAATTGAAGTATTTATTCCAAAGAAAATCTTTATATTTCACTTTGCCTCTAGACAAAACATTACATTGACCCCTAATAATGGAATCTATTATACATACGTAGAAATGTGATAATTGAAGGAAATAGAACCTCTCACACAGATGCATTATCTTTGAGTATTGATCACATTTTCCCTAAATGTAAATATTATACTTACAGGCCTGAGATTACACAAAACAAAAGAACTGAGAAATCAAACCACTTAACTTCTAAACTACAAAAATGTGACATTACCTGGAAAACTAGTCTTCATGATATCAATTCCAACTTTTTTTTCAGCAGCGAGCACTGCATAATCCCCTTGATGAGAGATGTTAAAGTTGAAATTCGGATAGGGATTTGATGAGTCTTTTGCAAGAACTGGTTTTCCTTTTGCAGTTCTTTGCAAACGAATATGATTCCAAGGAATATTCAATTTCTCAGCAACTAATTTCCTTATCATCAGACGACCAGCCTGTTAAATATATAAAACATTTTAAATGTACTGATGCCTATTGAAGATACAGGTAGACTGCCTGTATTACAAAGTATGTTTTTGTGGTATTTAAATTTTTTATTCTTAAAATACAAATTTTTAATGGACATTAAGTATTACATATATTACATTAAGATTTAACCAATGTTTATTAAGTAGAATGAAGGTTAAAGTCCTACTTAGCAATTCCCTCTCCTCAACCAGTAACCAATGGTAATAGTAGGTATCCTTTCCCTCTTTTCTCTAAGTATTTAAATATACATATCTTTGCATGTCATTTTGCTAATTCTCCTTGTATATACATACATATATATATATGCAAACATATATATTTAGAAGTTGATGTCACATGTATTTTAGCATGTATAAACTTTTAAATTTATAAGTACTGGGGATTATTTCATGTCTGTACACATAGGTCTAGTCTGTGCACTTTTTTTTTTAGAACTATTTTATTTATTATTATTTTTAATCTTCCTATAGAGCCTGTGCACTCACCAGAGAGACAGAAAGGGAAAGAAAGAATACAAGCCACCAGGTCTGGTACTCAAACCATAGTCAGCAACATGGGAATTCAGCACCTTAACCACCATGCCATCTGCTGGCCCTTGATCTGTGCACTTTTAACTGCAGCATACTATTTCATGTTACTGAACTATAGTAAGGGTATTGACTATTCCCCTACTGATGTTTTAGGTTGGCTCCAGATTAGCTATTACAAAAAAGTTCTGCAGTGAGTAGCCCTACTATATCTATACCTGTGTATAAGTATTTCTAGATCACATAAACCACTAACCTTCAACAATTAGCAAGGAATTTCCTATCTTGTTCCACTCTCTCCCACCTCTATTAATAAGAAATGACTAAAATACACACATACGCACATACCCCACAGGGTTCAAAGTATCTTTCAAGGTTTTCTCTTCTTTATTGGTAACACTGACTTTTAATAACTCAGGACTTTGAAATTTGTTCTTTTCACAACTTCCTACAAATCACGAAAAAAACTATATAAAGTGATTCACCAGCCAGCAAGTGGAATGGTGGTTAAGGTGCTGGACTCCCACATGGCCAGACCACAGTTCTAATCCCAGACCCAGTGGCTTGATTTTTCACTTCACCTCTTGCTGTTTCTCTCTGGTAAGCACACTCGTTCTATAGCAAATTATAAAATAATAAAAAAATTAAACAATTATCTAAAAAAAATGAACCAATATGCCTTCAAAATATTATCAACTAGCTCATACTTCAAATGGAAGCCTGTTTCAAGATAGGGACATTTTCAAGAAACGACTGACTTTGAAATGAGGATACCAAAGTTGTTTCAAAACTGCAGCACAGACATTTTAAATTCGTTGCTTAAAAACACACACTTAAATGAATAAATCTATTTTGAAGACTGTTTCCCAAGCTATTCAGTCAAAGATTTATGCCCAGGACTGTGGCTTCCCTCAGCTTCAGCTTTAGCACTATAAGGGAGCTGGCTTGGGCCTCTCCAGTCTCACGGGGCAAAGGCTCCAGTATTGTCCATATTTTCTAGGGCCCACAGGATGTCCTTGGAGAGTGGTGGCGAAAACTGGCGAAACTGCACGGGATATACACCCAAGCAAAGAAAAAAACAGAATTTGGTAACCCTTAAAGATATGGACATAAATTCATTTAGCACACACACCAAAAGTTACTTCGTAGGCCTCCCCTACACTTACGTTATGATTTAGTAGCGTCTCTATTTTCAATTACATGGGGGAGGAGCTACTTTTTAGCGACCGAGGCCTCAGAGGCGGTTACAAAGACAGTGGAGACCAGGCCATGCGCACGACGGTCTCGGCAGCGCCGACCATCTCGCCCCGCGCCCGCCACAAGTGGCCCAGACGGCGGACGGCCACAAGTGGCCTAGACGGCGGACGTCGACGCTAGGGCGGGAGGTGGCTCTCCACAGCCCGGCCTACCTCCCTCAACATCTGCTGCCTCGGCTCTCAATTACCAAAGACATGTAGTACCATGGCTGCCTTAGCGTCCCGGGCAAAGACGAACTGGCCAATGCGCTCCTTCTCCTCAGGCTGGATCGATCGCACCGCCAGCAGCCCCCCCCCCCCCCCAGCCACTCGGCTCGGCTCGGCAGCCAAGTGCCGCAGGAAAAGGCCCAGCGCACGCCCTCCATGGATGGCACCAAGCGCAACCGCTTGGCAGGGAAAACCATACACTATGAACCTGAGAACGGACCTCACCGCCACCTCAGGCCTGATGGCGCGGACGCTAACGTGGCCCCACCCCCTCTCCCAGATGTCCGTGCGGAGGGGCGGGCATCGCGTACGTCAAAGGCACGTTGCCCTCTGCCCCGCCCCAACCGCACAGCCTCCTTTCGGAGAGAGCGGTAGGAGGCGGAGACACCGACTGGTCTTTGCGCTCTGCGGCAACGTGACGTCATGTGGGCGTGGCTCCTGAGGCGAGCAAAGGGAGGGACTAAGGCAAGGAACCGGGCAGTTACGCCACTCACACTTGGGAAAGAGCTAACGGGACAGCGGTGCAGGCCAATCGCAAACATTTCTCCGGAGGCAGGGAGACGGGGTGGAGACTGCGAAGACTGCAGTTGCAGGTGGGTAAGCTCCGGGGTCTGAGGGAGGAGTGGGACTCTAGCGCCTTATCCTGGATACCAGGGTTGGCCTCTGCAGTCCGCAGAGATGATGATTTTTTTGGCGTCCGCTGCTTCGGTTGCTTTTTTCGCGTTCGGGGACGGGAGAGGTTTCTATAGCTAGGAGGGGACCGTGTGGCCCCCTGGAGCTGTGCAACGTGACCCCCCGTTGTCTTTTCTCCCCCTAGTCCCAGCTGGTTAAGACCCTCATCCGCAACTCCCCCTACTCTTAGCAGCTGCCCACTTTGAAACCGACAGACCAGGCCGAGCTAAGTCATTGCTCCCAGTGCGGGACGTCGGCTCCGCCTGAATCCTAGTGCAGCGAGCAGCTGGGCTATTGCTGACCCTTTGTTGTGACGATGCGGAGACTCAGCGGCTGTTTTGCAATTGCCAAGACTAAGCTAAGGCCCTAGGGAGAACACAGGATTCTACTGTTAAGACATCAGTTTCCATAACAAATTGGTGCCAACTGCGGCAGAATCAAGAACAGAACTTTAGTGACCCTTCAGATATATTCTGTGTTTTTGCATAATTATTTCCTCAGATTTTATGAAGGGTCATTGATGTATGTCTCTTTACATAGTTGCTTCGTGTACTGTTGGTGACAGTTGTGGGAAAGACCACGTGATCAGAGTTCCTGCGGGTTTTAGTCCAAGGAAAAGTTGGTGTCTGCCGATGAATGTAAATGCCCAACTTGGTAACTTGGTGGTATATTAAGTGCCTTACTGTGGAATTCAGACTATTCTTTATTCATTTCTTCCAGGGAATATGAGCCAAAAGAATAATAATTAACACAGTTATACTATTATTATTTTGTCCTCTTTAAAATGATTTCTATCTGTACTTTTCTTCCATTAACTTCATGATGTCGCAAACCTCGTAAAACTCTTTGAAAGTGAGGTTTTTGGCACACACAGAAGCATACACATTCACCCTCAAAGGACAATAAAATGAATTATTGGCTTGATACATTAACTTACCTCATAGTTAGTAAAAGCCTGTGTCAGGTGCCATATTTAAGGTATGTTTACCATGGGGCAGGTGGCATGCTAGTTAAAGCAGCTGGACTCCCACATAGTTTGCCACAGTTCGAGTCCCAGACCTGGCCGCTTACTTTCTGACTTTTCTTCTCTCTCTCTCTCTCTCTCTCGCTCTGGTAAACCGGTCAACTTAAAAAAAAAATCCATTTACCACCTGCAGGGAGCTTAGAAAAGTTGGCAAGGTAGGTAAAGCATGCAAATAAAAAGCTACAGTAAGAGAAAATGTGGATAGATCAGGTAAAAAGGTACTCTACTGATACCCACATCAGTAATAGTAGTAATTCATATCTCCATTTGTAGGTATGCACTTGAACACCACATTATAGCTTTCCTTCCGGTCTTATGAACTGATTTTTATAGTTTTGTTATATTTATTTCTGAAACACTTCTATGCTCATTATTTTATATATTCTGTGCAGCAGTTATTGTTATGATGGCAAAATTGAGCTCAATGAAAATTTGTGAGATTATTTAAATTCAGGTTTAGGAATTCATATCCCATTCTTTTACCATTGAACTAAGTTGTGTATTACATTTATGGAGCCTGATGTACAGACAAGTAATACAATATTTACTTGTATTTGTTCTCTCTGCCCAAAGCATTCTCCTCTCCTCCCATTGTAGTATTTCTTATTCCACCGTAACATTCGAGCTCAGATGTTATACCAAAGAGAATGTCTTTGTCTACCCAATCTAAAATAGCTCACTCTCCTCACTCCCTAGCTCCAGTCCTATGCTCAGTACCCTAGACAGCACACTTTATAGGATTAATTTAATCTTTGCTATTTACTTTGACTTCGTGGTTAAGGTGTTGGACTCCCACGTGGCCGACTGCAGTTCAAGTCCTGGACCTGGTGACTTGCTTTCTCATTTTCACTTTCTCTGTCTCTCTCTGGTGAGTGCACAGGCCCTATAAAAATATATCAATAATAATGACAGATACAATTGAATAATTATTAAAATAAAAATCTGGGACCAGCAGGTGGTGTGGTGGTTAAGGGCACTGACTCCCACATGGCTGACTGCAGTTCGAGTCCCGGGCCTGGAGACTTCCTTTCTCACTTTCTCTTTATCTCCTTCCCTCTCTAACCTCCTTCCTTCCCTCCCTCCCTCCCTCCCTCACTGTGTCCCTCTCTGGTCAAATAAAATAAATAAATCAAATAATTCTTATTAAAAAAAATCTGGGCTAGCCAGTGGCAGTGGTTAAGGTGGCTGGATCCCACATGCCCGACTGCATGGTTCTAGTCCTGGGCCCAGTGGCTTGAAAAACATGCCAGGTGTGTATTGTGCATGCCAAAAATCCCAAGAGAAGAACAGAATGGTCATCCCCCTCAAGGGGCGTCCTGCTTTTCCTCTCTCTTTCTGTCTCCTGAGAGTACACACTCCCTAAAGCAAAAAACAGAAATCTTACAGCAAAAAAAAGAAATCTAACATGTCTTTCAAGGCTTGGCTTAAACTTTACTTTCTCTTAAAGCCTATTACTCCACAGTACTTTAAAAAAAAAATATATATATATATGTATTTTTATATAATTAGTTTAGCAATTATTCTAGTCCTGCCTTATGACATCGTCTATTAAGAATTATTTACATATGTTGTCTTGCAAATTAGAATGTAAACTGCTGAGGGAGTATTTCAAGGGTATCTGAACTTTTACAAATACTGAATTGGAGAACTCATGATGTATTTTTGCATAGAAAATAAACACAAAAAATATTCCATGACTTTTCTGATGAGTAAATGTTATGAGTTGACTTTTATGATAGACTGTATGATTCTCATGGGGTAACACTGATTTTTACATGCAGGCTATGTGTTTACTTTCCTAACTTTTTTTTAAAGTAAATGTAAATGTGTAATTAATAATTTACTTATATTCAGTAAACCTCAAAATTATATTAAAATATTTTTATTGCATTTGTCAGGAGAGAGGATTAAAGAAATAGAGGCTAAGCTAGTTCATAAGTACTATCTATAATGGTCATCTTGCATGATCCTTTTCTGTTACTTAATAATATTCTGAGAGACTCACGTTCTATTTCCAGTCCTACCACCAATCATCTGTGTGACTAGGCAAATCACTTATTGAATAGCACCATAATCCTACCAGTTACTCAGCGAAGAATGTATATATAGTCTCCTTTTCCTTCATTCTCTATCCAATCTATCTCAAAGCCCTATTGGTTCAACTTCTACAATAGGCCTAAATCCATCTATTTCTCTTCATCTCTACTGTAAACACTCTAGTCTAAATCACTATTGTTTTTCTATTTAAATACTGATTTGTTTTCTAGCCTGCATGAGAAAAGGGAGAGTTCTCTTCCAGTGTCTGTACTCCATCCCGTAAGCATAGCCTCTCTGCAGAACTAAATCTAGAAGTTCATTTCCTTAATAAGTATGTCATAATGTCTCCTAATTTAAATGAGGAGAGGCCAGAAAGCTAGTAAACCTGAAGAGTATTGTGGCACTGAAACTAAGAGGTGAGTGTTTCAGAAGGGGGTAACTTTGTGAAATGTTCCTGAGAGGTTAAAAGGATGAGAGAAAAGCATGTGACCACAAGATGGTAGTGCATGACACTGACAAGGGCCATTTCAGTAGAATAAAAAGAGAGGAACTTGACTGTAGTGGGTTGAGGGATTGGTAGAGGTGAGCTACCACAGTGCACTCTTTAAAATGATTTTTCTGGTTGGGTAATGAGAACTGAGAATGGTAGCTAAAAGAGGATAAAAGGTCAAAGGGCAGTTTTTTGTTTGATATTTGTTGAAAGATAAGAGATAATAGAATTTATGTGCTGATGGAAAATGTCCAAGAGAGTGGGAGAAATTGTTAATGTAGGAGAGAAGCTTAGTGGTGGTGGTGGTAGGGTGTGTGTGTGTGTGTGTGTGTGTGTGTGTGTGCGTGTGTGCGTGCAGCATCCTACAGTGTACTACAGCATGGAGAACTTTGCTTGTATTGTGTTTAGCAGTACCCCCAGTATCTGGAAAGTCACCTGCCACAATAATGGCTACTCTCAACACTTTTTAGTATATATTTTCCCTTTTTTAAAGAGCTTTATGCCTTAGGGCATGTGTGCTCACAGGAGAGAGAGAGAGAGACAGTGAGAAATCACCCCCTGGGAAGATGGCCATGCCGCAGTCTCTTCCTCCATGCTCCTGGGATCTTGGGCACATGTGCACACATGCATAGTGTGAGTTTCAAGCCACTGGGTCAGGGAATCGAACTGCAGTCAGCCATGTGAGAGTTCAGCGACATAACCGCTACATCATCAATTGGCCCCTCTAGTATTTGCTGAATAAATAAAACACCTGGACTCTACTTCTTTAATCTTTCCATTCATTCTTCATATATCAGCTGGAAAGTTTCTTTTTTCCTAAATAAATGAGATCATATCACTGTCCAATTTAAAGTAATCAGCAGTTCCTAATGCACTTCCAGCTTTTTATGGTGAATAGGACCCTGCAAAAGGTAGCACCTACCTTCTACAGCCCTATCTTCCAACACTTACTCACATTAACTATACTTCAGCCACACTGACCCCTTTAATTTTCTAAAATTGAAGGACTCCTGTCCTACTTTAGGGCTTTAAAATTATTTCGCCCATCAACCCCTTACCTCCTCATCATTCCCTAGCCAAGCTGCCTGGTTTCACATTTGAGCTCCCACTTACTGGTTTTCCTTATGACTTTAGGCAAATTAAATTCTCAAGGCCTTATTTTCCCTGTCTATAAAATGGGGATAATAATACTATCTACATATATAGTTGTTTTTCAAAGTTAAAGAATATATTAAGCATGGAGTACAGAGACTAGCACATAATAAGCACTATTCACTCTTACCATTGTTATTATCTGAAATTGAATGTCCCCCAGTTTATTTTCATTCCATTATTCCATTTTTTTCTTCACAGTATTTGTAAGGACTTAAAATATTCATATAATTTTTTTCTGTCAGTCTTTTTTACTAGATACTAAACACCAAAAAGTAGGAACTATGTCTGCCTGTTATTCTCCTTGCTCTTTCTAGTGCCTTATTCACTATCTGTAATATAGTTAGCATTTGTAATAAATGTTCAATAGAAAAGGCCGGAATCATGCTCTATATTGAAACATCAGTGACTAAACTAATATCACGAGAGAGCCCAATGATATCAAAGCCCAAATCAGAGCTTTTGTTCAATAGCCTATCAAGCGGCATTTTTTGTTTTTTGTTTTGTTTTGTTTTTTTCTTTAGTCATTACTTTATAACAAAGCCTTGGTTCTCAAGTATAATTCTTGGACTTCTATTGATTCAATTTTTTTGAGAGATTTTTTTGCTATAGGGTGTGTGCATTCCCCAGAGAGGCAGAGTCAGAGACATAGAAAGCAAGAAATCACCCCTCAGGGGAGGTGGCCACACCACAATCCCTTCTTCTCCAGTGTCATGTCAGGATTTTTTGGGCAGGCACACACACATGCCTAGCATGAGTTTCAGACTGCCAGGTCCATAATTTGAACTGTCGTCAGCCACATGGGAGTCCAGTGCCTTTACTGCTACACCTGCTGCTGGCCCCGATTCAATTATTTAAATCAAATTTAGTGGAAGACCCTAAAAGACAAAATACAAAATAATTTTGAAAATCAATCCAGTACTTTAAGCAGGAAG